TGATTCACAGTTCTTGAACACCTGGCGAGTGTTGGGGTTGTGTTGTGCCACCATGGTCTACACAACTATTTGTGAACTAGTCTTAGCAAGAATTCCTACTCTAAATCTCATGATGTAAGAAAGTATGAGTGGGGATAGTAAAGAAATTATGAATCTTTTAAAAAATCGTAACAAAATTTATATATACCTTTGTGTTAATAAATCTCTCTAGGCTAACAAAGCAATCACTGAATTACTTTCATTGAATTTTATCCCTCTGTGTGACTGGTATCTTTGGATTTCTCATGCTGGTTAAAAGCTCCAAATTTATCATCTACCCCCTACCCATTTCCTCTATTCCCTGTCCTGTTTAATGATATCTCTGCCGTCTCACTCTCCACACTCAGTCACTAGCTCCCTTTAATCCGTGGGATAAATGAGAAGGGTTCTTGCATGAACGCACCTCGCTCCCTGATGTGACCCTTCATCCCCATCTGGCTTCAGGTCCAGCCTTGGCTCCTGTCACTCAAGCACTCATAGTTCTCAGGTTTCCTAATGATGCAATGCTTCCTCACGCTTCCGGGCAGTCTGCTAGGAACATCCTTCTCCTTGTTGATCCAGAAAAACCCTCCACACCTACAGATTCTTCAAGGCTTGGCACAGAGAGTGTCCTCTATAAAGCCTTTCCTGACTCTGCAGAGCAGGCTTGTAACTCATTGTGTGCAAGGCCAGTGGTAGCCCATGTGAATCTTTTGGATTAGACAAAGGTTTCTTGCAGTTTTCTAGACACAAGCAGCCCTGACATAGGGCTTATGGATTGGTGAGCCGAGCCACAGGGAGGCTGGATTTCAGTGCCCACTGGCCCCAGCCGGATCCCCTAGTACAGAGCACAGGTGGCCTGACCTTTGTGGTCCCATCTGCCCGCCTGTTTTTGCTGTCTGAGTGTAAACTCCTTGTGGGCAGAGACCTCCTCTACCAGGGCACCTCTCAATGCCTGGCCCGCAGTATGACCTCAGTATCTGTTCAATGAGTGAAGGAATAAATGAAATGTAATGCAAATTGAAAAATTAATTTTTGTTCATCAGGGCACTTTGTATAGGAATGACAAGCTTTCAGAATATGGGGTCCTCTGGAGGGGCATAATAATAAAAGGATCTGCTGGTGGAAGTGCTCGGGTGCTGTCCGAACACTCATTTGGGCCCTCAGTTAGGGGCCCTGGAGCCCAAGGGAGCCCTCTGTGCCTGTTCCACAGCCCAGCTCCATGCGACCTGCTCCTTTCTCCCACACGCCTGGCCGGCTAGAGCTGCTGGTACAGTGACTTCCTGCCGGGGAAGCCTGGGGGCTCTCTCTCACATGGGGGAACTTTGGACTTGACAGGGAAATTCGGTCAGGAATACTCCCATTTGCAAAGAACTCATGACATTAAAAAGTGGTAAGTTCTAATATCCCTTAGGAATTTTCCAGATTGCCTCCAAGTATTTGTTTTTGACCTATTAGTTACTTGATGAAAAGGTGGGACTAGGACTAAGGAGACATCTGAAAGATTAGGCACCACTGCCAATTGAAAAGAAAAAGAGTATTGATAAAACCCTTTCTAAAGTATAATGCAAGTAAAAAGGATTTATTAGATTTACGTACATTTTATTTCTAGGACATCTGTTATAAGATGAAGCCCAGAGTTCTCTCCTCCTTTCTCTCTCTTTAAAATCCTGATTGTAATTTCTTCTTTGCCTCATATTTTGCACCCTTATAAGCGACCAAAAATCCCTTCTGGGAAAGTGCAAATAAGTTAA